TTTTTTTTTTTATTATTTATTTTCATGTAAGGAAAAATTTGATAATTATATTTATTTCATAAAATATAAATTCATTCAAATTCAATAGTTGATGTATCGTGCTTGTTAGTGTTGATATTTTGTTTGTCTTTATATATTGAAAATAATGTCCAAATAATTTGACCAATCATTATAACAAATGAAATGATGACAATATAATAAGCAATCGAAAGAAGAATATCAATTGTAGAAATTGATACGAATAAATCCATAGTGATTATATAAACAACACGTCAAACGTTAGTTTAACGATCAATAAAACATGTGTTACATAATTTATTATATACATATATACACATATTATTTTAGCGCCATGTATACTTACTTAACCGATCGATTGTTTATCTTACTTTCTAATCCTACTAACAAATACATAATAAAACAAATTCATTTATTGTTGTTTTCTAACATCAAATGGTTATATATTCGAAATGTTCTATAAATTTTTGTTTTTCTTCTTTTTATTTCTTATTAATAAAAGTTATGAATGTGATATATGGAAAGCAGCTGATTGTCCACAAGGACCATCAAAAGATGATGAAAATTTAATGAAATCTCATTTATATACTGAAGAACAATTACTTGCTTATTGTGATGCTGGTAAAACATTTGCTGATTGTGTCAATGAACATTTACTTTGTTGTGATATGCGTACAGAATATTCAGCAGCATTAGCATCACTTGATATTCAACTTAGACGTAATGCATTACGTATTGGAAAATATTGTACAGATTTTAATGAAACAAATCCAATACAATATAAATGTCGTACAACATTAAGAACAATACCAGGTACGAGATATCGTTCAACTACTACAGCACCACCTGTGTGTAATTTGGAAAAAGTAAGAAGACGTAAACAAACTCTGGATAAATGAATTTATGATAAAATTTTATTTTTGAATATAAATATTAGGCTGGAAAACAATGTAGTCCAATTATTGAAAATCGTGTTCGTTTTGATCGTCGATGGTCGGCACAAGAAAAGGTCAAATGGTGTAAAGATGCGTATGAATATCATACATGTGCACTTTCATATATAACAAATTGTACAATAACGTCTGTCGCTGGTGATGTTGCTCAATTGACTGTTTTCTTAGATTATATTGAAAAATCTGCTAATCGTGAATGTCCAGGTGGTTTATTTGGTTGTGTAGAAAAATCGAACAATGATTCTCGTTGTCAAGATAAAATTAGCTTTTTTCTTGAGAAAAATGCACTAGCTAATGAAACTATAACGACACAAATATCATCATTGACATTATGTGTCACAGTTTTTATATTTTATCATTTCCTCAAACTAGAAACATACGTTCTTTTTCACTGAGTTTTTTCGTTTGACTTGCAAATACAAACAATAATCTGACTGAAAAACAACACAGATGATATCCACGATATTAAAAATCATTGAAGGTTTGGCATATTGTATTAAATAGATAATCATAGTTTTTATCATATACTATGTGTAAAAAAAAAAAGGTTTTTTTTCTTCCTAGAAATATTTTTATTCACATCACAAACGAGATTTTTTTTTTCTTTCATTTTAATGAGAAAGAAAAGTGTTTGTGTTGTGGAAAAAGAAAATGATCAATAAGCAATGCTACAGGACATAATATGTATGAGGATAGTACTAAAAACTCGATCAAATAACTGAAGATACAATTAGTATATCTTGTTTATAAGAAAATATAAAAGGTTATGTTTTTTTTTAAATATCCTTGACTCGAAAAAAATAGAATATTTGATATGTAATGCTTTCATGTGTCCTTGGTTTTTTTTCTCGTCTGCTGTCATTCGACGTATTTGATTCAAGAAAAGAAAAAAAAAAAAGATGTTTACTTCTTAATAAAACAGAAAGAATAAAAAAAAAACACTAACAGTCGACAAGACATTATGGTTACCACAAATTCTTCTTCTTTAAGAGGAAACGAGCATTTTACTATTAAAAGCGACAATTCTAACAGTTCGCATTTTTATTCACCGAGTAATAACATTTACCTTTCTGACGATCAACAATCAAATAAAGCACAAAATTATTTTCCATTTCGTTCTGCAATTTATCAAAATATAAGCAATTCTCATCAAGCATCATTTGCATTTATTAAAAAACAAAAAAATATTTTGAATTTACATCCGGGTAGATTCTATTTACAACAAAAAAAAACTATGAATGGTGAATCAAATACTCAAGAATATTGTCGACATAGAGATGCTCAATATGCATCAATAAAAGTAAGTTATTCTTTGGGTTTTTTTTTTCTGTATTATTAAATATATGAACTTGACACAAAACATTCGTTATACATGCACTTTGATAAATTCATTAAGAATGTTTTCATCCAGAATTTCTTAATTTATTGATGATGTTTTGTAAAAAGTAAGAATCAAAATAACAAAGAGTCTTATTACAAATTGTACACGATACATAACTAATATTTATTTTATTATTCATATTGATTGTAAAGAAAAATTTTGATGAGATTTGTATGGGCGCTGACATTTGATATTCTTATTATCATATTTCTTTTTTTTGCAAATATTTTTTTTTTTAGACAACTGTTTTCTCTGATCAACATTTACAAATTCCTTGTTATTTACAAATAACAAAACGAAATGAGAATGAATATTCAAGATATAGAAATTCTAATGTAAGTTCATTTATCTGATAGAAAAAAATCGAATTTTAAGAACAATGTATATAGTCTTCAAGAGAAAAGTCACTAAATCGAACTGAAACACGTTTAAAACCTCATTACAAATGTCGATCATTAGTTTATGATAGTGAAGCTAAAGTTAGTAAAGACATTTACTTAATAATAAATAATCGATTTTTTATTTAAAGCGTTTTTATGTTCCTGATGATAAAGTGTCTTGGAATGTTGATTTTATGGATTATAAACCTGTTGAATATACAACTACTAAGATTCAACATAATCCAAAAGCTGATTCATCCGATCCGTTAGTCAATTGTTTTTGTTTTTTACTTTGTTAAAGAAAAGAATATTATTAATATGATTTAGTTTAGATCGAAAATTACTAAATTCAATCAACTTGATAATAAAATTGATCGACGAAGTTTTACTGGTTTTTATTATATTGATCCAATAACTCAACGACCAAGAAATCCAATAGGACGAACAGGAAGTAAGAAAATATATCTTTTACTCAATGAAAATTTGTAATGATAGATCATTTTGTATTTATAAGGACAAATAGAGAGAAACGATAGATTGTTTTTTGAAATCAAGAGAGAGAAATTATCATTAGTGATTTGATTGCATTGAATGTATCGTAAACTACATGGAACGATTAGTAGCGTCAAATTATATTTACATTTCTAATAATAACTTAACCTATTTGCACGACAGGAAAGAAAAGAAAAAAAAAAGAGACACTATTTTTCATTGAAATGTTTTCGTACTTCTCTGATTTTATGCCTCAGGTAAAACAAGGACAGAAAAAGTGCAAAAAAAAAATTTTTTTAAAACACGTTTATCTGGTATTTGTATGTAGCTATGGAGACTTGTCGGATCTAAAAATATGCGGGATCAAGTTTCTTTTTTTTGTCCCGATCTCGATCCAGTTCTGATTAAAGATGCGCAGGGTAGGGTAAGAGTAAGAAAATTTTTCTCCATCAAGGTATAGAATATGTAAAAAGCTTACCCTGTACATGGTTTGTCCCGATCATACTCTCAGTAAATCTGATCTAGTCTCAGTACTGGTAACTTCTTTTCTAGTGATTTCGGCTATATTCTCGATAAATCTATTCTAAGCCGGGTGCCGATGATTTTAGTTTTATGAGCTCTCGTCGAGAGAAAACTGCTCGAGAATTTATTCGTATCACATCTGAAAAGATTCTTCAATATTTGTTTCTTTACTTATATGTTCGGCGACTAGCACTATTTTTGAGTCATGTTTCTTGAATTATGTTTTAATTGATATGATTTATAGGATAGTTCGGTTAAAACCATAGAATATTAGACTATAAGCTTTAGTTTCGATTGTGGCAACTCTTTTCTCGTAGTTAGAGAGCTGCGGATCCTTCCAGACCCGGCCGGATTCGGATGCGG